CTAGGTGTGAACCCAGCCTTAGTGACTGATCCTGACAGCATGACATCTCAATAAAGGCTTCTGATCGTTCTCAGACGATCAGAAGTCTGATACATTTAGATAGTTATATATAGTTCAGGCAAGAAATACATTGTTACATATTTCTGGCTGAAGAATGTATTACAAAACAGCCTGTAAACATAAGATAAGTCCCGATCTCTACAGAGCTGTCAAAACTGAAATAGCAAGAGCAGCTGTGAAATACCGGATCGCTGATAGATGATAAGTTTAGCCTCACAGTTTCTTTCTGTTAATGCTTAATAGTTCCGACACAGGCTACTAGGCACTAGGGTATTCTCTATAGATTTGGCTACTCTGAATGTGCAAATGGGTGTTCCTGAGATGACAGATTTTAAATCCGATATGTTGTGTGTTGGATTGAAAAGAAATGCCTCAAGATATAGAATGTTTTATTATGCCGAGATGGAAACAATGAACATGCATACAGTTAGCCTATAAATTCCTCTACTCTAGAGTTAACCTTCCACAAAGTCCCCATCAGGTTCACTGCATTTGCACCATTGTTTACCCAGGCCTCAAATCCAGTTTGGAAAACTTCTACAGAGTACTATTTGCTTCACTGCTTCAAAACTGATTGAACTTACTGCAGGTTCTTAAATATCTCGCCACAAATGTAATCCTTCATTGGCCCAAACAGGTAGAAGTCAGACGGTGCCAAATTTGGGCTGTAGGATGGATGAGGGACTGCTGACCAACCCTTTTTTGCAGTCACCTGAATGGTTTCAGAAAAGGTGTGTGGGTGTGCATTATCATGATGCAGCTGTATGGCGTCCTTTGGCTTTCAAAGTGTACCATTGACTGTTTTGCCTTTATCCAAAAAGCTTGTGAGAATGTTACCTTGGTTATCACAGAACACGGTCATCATGATTTGGCAGATATGTGCTAATCTAGCAGATTTGAGCTTCTTTGGGAGGGAAGAGTTTGAATGGCACCATTCAATGTCTTGTCAACAATTTCAGTTTCTGGGGGTGTGGCCGAGATGTGAAGCAGAGCGGACGTGTCTGAGGGAGCTCCGCCGCCACACTGAGCTTCATCCGGCTTTAATCCTGCAGACTGGTTTCTGTTCTTCACACCCGAGCTCCGGTGGATGTCCGGAGCAGGGGGATATGCCCTCTAGGTCTGGCAAGCGAGGTAATACCCCGAAAGGTGGCTGGAGGAGATCCCAGCGTGCGGCCTCGTGTCCCGCCGCCGCCATCTTGCCGCCGTCCATTGCTCCCTGTGAGTGCTCACGCCGGACCTTGTGCATGGAGGGAGTAGCTGCAGACGCTGCTGAGGTGGCGCTGGCCCCTCCGGAGCAGCCTGTCTCCCCACCGACCACAAGTAAGGAGAGGGCTGAGACAACAGCTATCCTGGAGGCCATAGAGGGCTGTAAAATCGCCCTCACAGCCAAAATAGACCATCTGGCGGTGGAGTGCACATTGATCAGACATGATCTGGACAAAATTCGGTCAAACAATTTCAGTTTCTTCCTATTTAAACTACTGAAAATTAAACTACTGAAAATACCCTCATTAAGCCCTACCCAATGCAAATTATCAATTTTAACCTATTGCTGCTTAACTCGTTTGAAAGGTCCCCTGTTTGCATTGTTTTTTTGTTCTTATAATTGCATGCATATTTACATATGAATACTTACCAATCTAGATATTTTAATTCAAACATGTATGTATTCATAATTATTAAATGTAATTTTATATATGAATCTACTTATGACTAGAGTGGCAACACATACTTTGATTACATTAACTTTTAAATTATTAAGAACTATCGCTTTTAATTTATCAGTAAATACGATTTGCATTAATTGTATCATGAATTAATTGATTGTTAAGATTAAAGCAATGTGTACTTTCTGTAGTCCTATATATATTATCTGTATGTATAGCATCCTCAAACATGCACATTTTCTTCCCCCCCCCAAGAGTGCTTTAACAACTCTTTGCAGCCGTACACCTTCAAGAGCACTACTACCTTAAATTCCCACCCCATTGCGCTTCAGATATATATTTTTTTACCACCTTCTGGCTGCATGGGTTAGCTACCACCTAGCAACCCCAACCCTGTATTTTGGAGTGTGGGCATGACCCTGCTGTTGCAGAACACTTTAGATTCCCATGGTGTGCATGCCACTCGTCATGCCACTCATACTTACTCCTCCCTTATCCACTCTGAACCCACTTTTTGTACTACATTTATAGAGCAATTGATAAAATAATAAATGTTTTGGCAACTAATATTATGTAACTTATATTATGTATAAATACATAGTCTACTGGTGTGACGTGTATGAATTTGTATTTAGCTTATCTTTTTGTATTAATTCACATATTTTCTCTGGCTTTGTTTATGAATTTAGCTTATTTTTATCAATTTATAAACTTTTATTTTCTTTAGCACTCAGTGATAACTAGTATAATTAATTCCAATCATCTACTCATTTCAGCTAATTATAGTAGAACTGAAGACAAATATATTTTTTTTTATTTTTTATTTTGGAATGGAGTAGGAAAGGGTCATAACCACTGTCAGATTTTTTTTTTTGCCACCTGTGTCCCATTGGGGAGATTCCCTTCACTTACTGTCTAATACCCACAACAGGAAGTGAGTGGTGGTCATCAGGGTCACCAGAACTAGAATTCCCATTGGAAAATTTCCCATCTATACCTGTTCTTGTAACAGTGCATATTTTTGGATTTTCCTCCACGTTTACTTTTGGTGATAATGGCCACAAGTACAAATAGAGAGGATAAATCTCCCAAACGGGGACACAGGCAGCAAAAAAAAACCAAAAAACTCTCCACTCTATCCAAAACTAAAAGAAATCATGTGTGGCTTCAGTTGCACTTTAAAGCTGTACTCAGGGTAAAACATTTTTGTCTGCCCAACCCATCCTCCTAGCTTTTTTTTTCCCTACCTGGTGAAGCAAGTTATCTTGGGTTAAATCTGCTGTCCGGGTCCCATGCTGGCTCAGTTTCCATGTGTGGGGAACCACTACTCTAGCAATGCAGTTGGTCTCTCGCCGGCTGGTCCCCTACAGTCCCCTTGGGATGCCACTCATTTTCTGGATCCTGAGAGCACCCTGCCACTGGACAGCCAATAGAAAATGTCCATGTCATGCAAGGGATTTAGACACCCAAAGAAGGACACGATCGGAAGTTATGAAAAGACTTGGCACGGCAGTGTGACGTGACCATGGCTCTAGGTAATTAAAATGGGCATACCAGCCTTCAGTTAGAAGGGGGAGGGAGAGAGGTTACTAATTTCCCAGAGATGGACTTTAGTTATAACTCTCTTTTATGTTTTATTGCTCATACTATATGTATGAGCAATAAACTAACTTTTATTCCCATGTAATGATAGCTACTTGTAGAAGTTTCATTAATATAATTTATTAAATACTCATCTGCATGAATCTTAATTATTTATATTACCAGATATTTCACTTATTTCTACTTTTCATTGTAATAATTTCTTTGTTTACATATACACGTTATTGTGTATAATAGTAAATAAAATACAAATTATCTCAACCTATTTCTCCATAAGCACCAAGTTGGATACTTATGACTCCTTCTGTATATCCTTTTCAACAGACTCCTTGTAATTTTTTAATTGTATCTATTCAGTTCTTCTGTATACCGATCCTGCAGTAGTGGCTAACTTTATATCATGCAACCTGTTAATGATGTCTTATCATTATTGTCAATAAGCATCTTTTAACAGTGGAGTTTCATTGACATATTCTCCCTTTTCATGCCCGGCTCTTCTTTACCTTACTCCACTTTAGGGCCACCAAAAGCCTACCTTGCATCTCACCTGGGCCAAACCACTATTAGTGCATTTCAGCCTGGTCCACCCTGACCATCTTCGAGAGACCTATCAAGCTACCAAGAAAACCAAATGACATGTTGCTTGATTCCAACAGGGACTTCTATCAACTCAATCGATGTGAATAATAACTCTAGCATAAATCTGCTCATATTTAAATGCCTGGACATGCCTATTGAAATACTATGCTTAAATACATCTCTTCCATGGAAGAAGGAAACCAATCACTTATCCAGCACAAACCTCCTATATTTTAGTGGAGCATATTGAATACTTTACCGAATATGCAATGAACATTGTATAGGATGCAGTACAGAAACAGTTATCTACCCTTTGCATCTATTTTTGTCTGTATACAGGACAATCACATAATGTGGTTTACCAGGATACTGACTCCTGTGGCATAACTTGAATAATAGGATTTATTGGCCATGTGAAATATAATAGAGGCTTATTTTTGTCCAGTGGAAAAAAAAAGGCTGCAGAGGGTGAATCAAACAAGTGGGTCCACCCTTCACTACTAAATAGAGGCAGACCAGGTACATCATTGCATAGCAGAGAGGCTTAGCTTCTGCAGTATGTGTTCCTCTTGAAACTTGACATGCTTTAAACTGGGTGTCACAAATGTGACACTCTTGAACTTTAAATGTTGCACTTTTCAATTTTTACACCATACCAATAAACAGGGCTTGAAAAATTTTAGGGTGTCTCACCAGCCAGTCAAAAATTTCGCCAGTCAGCATGACCAAAAAAAAAATGTTTTCCCTACATTATGTTAAAAAACATTTAACGACCACACCGAACATTGGCCATAGGCGACGCTTTAAACGCTTTTATTGCTCATCAGTTTAGTGCTATCAGTGATTATTGGCCCTAAAATTATTGCTCACACTCAGACATTCGCGGTGATATGTAACATGCACAATAGGCACAATCGTTGTTTTCGCACGTAGGATGGACAGACACAAGCTTTTTTTATTTTATATTTTACTGTGTTTATGTGCAAGTAGGCAGCCAGCATTCAAGAAGAATTATAGATTTGTTAACATAGGAACAATTATAGGGATTTTATTATATAAGTGACTTTTTTTTTATTTTTTCCTCTTAAAAAGGAAGCACCATTCAGAACCCAAAAGAGAGAAGGAGCCTAAAAAGCCCACAATTAAGAAGCCCTTGAATGCATTTATGTTGTACATGAAAGAGATGCGAGCAAAAGTGATTGCTGAATGCACGTTGAAAGAGTTTATGCATTTTTAAGAAAAAAATGTTTTCCAGGTCTTCTATTTGCAAGGATTTTAGCAAATTGTACTTGCTCAGAGCATGGGTTTTCCTATCTGTAACATGATCACTCTTAGTTTTGATGCTGTAGCCCAAGAAGTTATTTGCTTAGGTTTTAAGTTTCTTACCAAGATTGAATTTCAGGAGCTATGCAAAATACGCAGCCAGCTTCCCCGCTACGCTAATATCGTATCTTCTCAGAAGCTGCATACAGCGGCCAGTTTAAGTAGTAATCAGCATGCTCTGTATGCAGCTTCTGACAGCATGGAAGGGAGGCTGCGCTTGTCAGTGGATCCAGGGATCAGGTCTCCTCAATCCGGGGACTGTCCCCAGAAATCAGGGACGAATGGTCACCTTACACCAGGGAGCCCTCACTATCCACCAGGGAGCCACCACAGAGCCTCCACTGGCCACCAGGGAGCCCCCACTAACCACCAGGGAGCCCACACTGGCCACAGTGGAGCCCCCACTACCCACCTGTGAGCTACCACAGAGCCCCCACTAATTATCAGGGAGCCCCCACTGGCCACCACAGATTTGGCACTGACCAGCAGAGAACCCACACTGACCACCTGACAGTCCGCATTGACCACCTGAGTGCCTAATTAGGGAGCCGCCTCTGCTGCACCCACACGTCTCTCTGGACCCCTGGTGAGAGCCGCATCTGCTGCACCCCATCTCTCTGGACCCCTGGTGAGAGCCCGCATAGCCCACTGAGAGCTCACACTGGCCACCTGAGAGCTCACACTGGCCACCTGAGACCCTAGAGACATCAGGTGGCAAACCCGAAGCAACAGAGTATGTAGCTTCATATTATTCTGCATTGCTGTAATATGAATTGCTGGGATTTATAGTCCTCATTAGCTGATGGTATTCTGCATTGTTGTGTAATTTATTGCTTGGAACACTCCCTACCCAGAAGCATGGACAGCCAGCGGCGGTCTACAGTGGGTGAGAGTGCCTAAGTACCGGACATGGAGCGGAGTAAGGCCAGAACTATGTAGGGAGCCCAGTGGGATGAGAGCACCATCCCCTAGCCAGTCACCCCTTTCATGGACTTACTTACTGCACCATGGGCCTCTGGGTTGCACTTGCCCCTTGGCTAAAAGTTGCCAGTCAGCCACTGCTGTATTCCGCACCTGCCGGGCGCCGAGAGCTGATTTAATTGTGGATGGCATCGACGCCCGGCGTTTGCGGTATTCAGGATTGTTGACGGCATTGGACTACATGTCGCAACCGCCGAGCGCAGCTGCCATCCGCAATTAAATTAGCTTTCGGCGCCCAACAGTTGCGTCATGCAATGAAAATTATTAGTGCCCCCCCAGATTTGACTGTGGTATCTTATGTGTCCCCCCATATATTGTTCCTAGAGTCACCAATGAAGGAGCGGTAGCTGTGTGCGCCATCTCCTTACTAATTTCGGCTGAGCCGCAGCCAAACTAGTAGATGCGGCTGTGTTAAAGTGGCGGGGACAGTGTCCTCCGCCTCCCTGGTGGGACCCTCCGCATCTGCTGCACCCACCTGCTGGACCTGCTACAGGTGAGCACGTGCATGGAAGGAGCTGCCCAGTAACGCGCGTGTGCGGGATACATCCCACGGGGATCAGACTGTGTGTGATGGCTGATCCCTGAGATGTTGCTGTGTATGTGTCATTCTAACTACCCAGTCTGCCATACATTGGATCTGGTCTGAGGTCTGCAGTGTATTGGTTCTGGTCTGAGGCCTGTCTTGTATTGGCTTTAATCTGAGGTCTGCCGTGTATTGGATCTGGTCTGAAGTCTGCCGTGTATTGGTTCTGGCCTGGGGTCTTCCATGCATTCTGCCATTTAGCTCGCTTTCCAAATTGCCTATATTGGTCTAGATTTTGAAATTCTCCTAACAGTTCCCCGGCAATTCATCTCTTAGTGGATTGGCCTACTAGTTCAAAAATAATTTGGAGAAGAAATTTCTGTGACACAAGAATGTCTATGCAGGTGGGGTGTGTGGGAGGGGCTTGTATATGGGTGGAGCACAAGGGGCCCCCATAATCTTGTATTGCCTGGGGGCCCCATGTGTTGTCAGTCCGCCTCTGATACTGTGACATTTCTATAATGCAGTATCTGGAATCACACTAATTTGGGCTAATATTTAATTGTCCCATAAGGATAAGTAATCAGGAAGGTCCTGAAATGAAGAAAGGAGTTTAACCTCAATTAATACTGATTTGGCCAGTTTCAGAATGGCTAGGTGGTGTTTGCAGGAGAATAACTTCAGGGGCCTTCACGAATATCAACAACTGTTTGGTCTCATGAACATGTGCTAAGTTTGCTTTTGAACTACTGAGAACTACAGGGAGAACCCATGCTTTTTAGTTGTCCTGCCAGGTAATATAGATAACATATCTGAAATCAGGGACGAATGGTCACCTTACACCAGGGAGCCCTCACTATCCACCAGGGAGCCACCACAGAGACTCCACTGGCCACCAGGGAGCCCCCACTAACCACCAGGGAGCCCACACTGGCCACAGTGGAGCCCCCACTACCCACCTGTGAGCTACCACAGAGCCCCCACTAATTATCAGGGAGCCCCCACTGGCCACCACAGATTTGGCACTGACCAGCAGAGAACCCACACTGACCACCTGACAGTCCGCATTGACCACCTGAGTGCCTAATTAGGGAGCCGCCTCTGCTGCACCCACACGTCTCTCTGGACCCCTGGTGAGAGCCGCATCTGCTGCACCCCATCTCTCTGGACCCCTGGTGAGAGCCCGCATAGCCCACTGAGAGCTCACACTGGCCACCTGAGAGCTCACACTGGCCACCTGAGACCCTAGAGACATCAGGTGGCAAACCCGAAGCAACAGAGTATGTAGCTTCATATTATTCTGCATTGCTGTAATATGAATTGCTGGGATTTATAGTCCTCATTAGCTGATGGTATTCTGCATTGTTGTGTAATTTATTGCTTGGAACACTCCCTACCCAGAAGCATGGACAGCCAGCGGCGGTCTACAGTGGGTGAGAGTGCCTAAGTACCGGACATGGAGCGGAGTAAGGCCAGAACTATGTAGGGAGCCCAGTGGGATGAGAGCACCATCCCCTAGCCAGTCACCCCTTTCATGGACTTACTTACTGCACCATGGGCCTCTGGGTTGCACTTGCCCCTTGGCTAAAAGTTGCCAGTCAGCCACTGCTGTATTCCGCACCTGCCGGGCGCCGAGAGCTGATTTAATTGTGGATGGCATCGACGCCCGGCGTTTGCGGTATTCAGGATTGTTGACGGCATTGGACTACATGTCGCAACCGCCGAGCGCAGCTGCCATCCGCAATTAAATTAGCTTTCGGCGCCCAACAGTTGCGTCATGCAATGAAAATTATTAGTGCCCCCCCAGATTTGACTGTGGTATCTTATGTGTCCCCCCATATATTGTTCCTAGAGTCACCAATGAAGGAGCGGTAGCTGTGTGCGCCATCTCCTTACTAATTTCGGCTGAGCCGCAGCCAAACTAGTAGATGCGGCTGTGTTAAAGTGGCGGGGACAGTGTCCTCCGCCTCCCTGGTGGGACCCTCCGCATCTGCTGCACCCACCTGCTGGACCTGCTACAGGTGAGCACGTGCATGGAAGGAGCTGCCCAGTAACGCGCGTGTGCGGGATACATCCCACGGGGATCAGACTGTGTGTGATGGCTGATCCCTGAGATGTTGCTGTGTATGTGTCATTCTAACTACCCAGTCTGCCATACATTGGATCTGGTCTGAGGTCTGCAGTGTATTGGTTCTGGTCTGAGGCCTGTCTTGTATTGGCTTTAATCTGAGGTCTGCCGTGTATTGGATCTGGTCTGAAGTCTGCCGTGTATTGGTTCTGGCCTGGGGTCTTCCATGCATTCTGCCATTTAGCTCGCTTTCCAAATTGCCTATATTGGTCTAGATTTTGAAATTCTCCTAACAGTTCCCCGGCAATTCATCTCTTAGTGGATTGGCCTACTAGTTCAAAAATAATTTGGAGAAGAAATTTCTGTGACACAAGAATGTCTATGCAGGTGGGGTGTGTGGGAGGGGCTTGTATATGGGTGGAGCACAAGGGGCCCCCATAATCTTGTATTGCCTGGGGGCCCCATGTGTTGTCAGTCCGCCTCTGATACTGTGACATTTCTATAATGCAGTATCTGGAATCACACTAATTTGGGCTAATATTTAATTGTCCCATAAGGATAAGTAATCAGGAAGGTCCTGAAATGAAGAAAGGAGTTTAACCTCAATTAATACTGATTTGGCCAGTTTCAGAATGGCTAGGTGGTGTTTGCAGGAGAATAACTTCAGGGGCCTTCACGAATATCAACAACTGTTTGGTCTCATGAACATGTGCTAAGTTTGCTTTTGAACTACTGAGAACTACAGGGAGAACCCATGCTTTTTAGTTGTCCTGCCAGGTAATATAGATAACATATCAGACAGAGCCATACCAGCTTCTTCTTTAGGCCTTTGTAGTATGGCTAGTTTCAATTTAAGTCTAGTGGTACCCCATATAAAGAATAAGAATAGAGGGTTAAAGTGTATTTCCACTTCTGCAGTGAAATTTGAGAACCCCCCACTATGTTTGTGTTTTTAATATATTTCTTACCTTTTAGTTGTTTCTGTGGTGAAGGCCTTTGTGCAGATTGCAGGCCACTCTGAACAATCTAAAATGCAAAGTAGAAGGAAAAACTGAACTTCCTCTCGTTAACATATAATGCTTCTAAAATCTTGTTTACAGCTGATAATGATATCTGCCAGCACAATACAAACAGGGTTAATTAGAGTAAACAAAACTCCTTACAGACTCCTCATCAGGGGGGGTTAGGGCAGGTAGGATCTTTAAGCATTAAGAATGGAAGCAACAATTTTAAGTTGTTTGAAAAAGGATTTTGGTACTTTCATGGATATATGTTGATAGGTTTTGGCAAAATTAAAATTTGAATTAAGTTGATTCCCACTGCGACAGAGACAGTTGAGACCACACTTGCGGTTTACCCTTAAGGCCTCCTTCACACTAGCATTGACAAAAATTAGTTCACATGCTTTACATGCTTTAGGAGGACATTGTCAAATGCATAAAATTGTTTTTTTAATGAAATCATATAAACTGGATGTTTACCTACATTTACAAATAAGCATAGGAAGACCAATAAATCCTGCACAGATCAGGGATATACAACATACATGTATATTATTATGTTCTGTATATTCATAAAAAGTTCTGGTAGTGTATAAGAAAACCAGTATCCACATTTTTTCCATAAAGGAGGGACGTAATGTGGATTCTGGTTTTCTTACACACTACCAGAACTTTTTATGAATATACAGAACATAATAATATTCATGTATGTTGTATATCCCTGATCTGTGCAGGATTTATTGGTCATCCTATGTTTATTTGTTCTGTGTTCTAGTTATCAGGATGCATTCTTTACTCCCAGGTCCAACATTTATGACACCCCATAGAGGCAGCTTCACATGCAGCTCTACCCAGGCTGGTCTGCCCGAGACAATTATGTGAGTGCATTTTCTCTTTTACAAATATTCAGATATGTTTTTGTGTGTTTTAATATTCTACATTTAAAAAAGTGAAAGCATTTCTCCTATTGTAACAGTAACATACAGGGGTGTGGAAATTTTGGAAAAAACTACTTGTCCAAGGACTAAAGCGGGGGCCGAATCTACTTGTCCTTCATGAGAATCTACTTGTCCTGATACAAAAAAAATTATTTGAACCAAAACCATATTTAGCAGTACTAAGAAGCGCTTCTCATTGGTCAGTGCCGTCAGGTGACCGCGTTGACCAATGAGTGCTTGCAATTTGCGAGCGAAATTCAGAATACATAGAACAGGAACAGATAGTACACCCGTACTGGTGGAGGGGGAAGGACCGTTCGCCGAATGGTAAGTATAGTGGGAGGAAGATTTGTGCGGGTAATTCCGTTTTCCCAAATTACTTAGGAAAGTGAATTTACACTTTATGGTGGGTGCAGACCTGCGGATTCCCGGGACGTGCGATCGTGTGCGGTAGCCTCCGCATGTATGGGGTTACATCTGGGTGGCAATCGCTGAAAAAAAGGTACATGTACCTATTTTCACGACATGCACCGCGCAGTGTTTTCAACCGTGATCGTGTGGGATCGCCCGGGTGTTATTGCTGCAGGAAAACGCGCAATCTGCCTGGCACGACTGGGGGTGCAATTAGAAAATAATGGCACTGCCAGCACGATCGGCGGTGGTGTGCGATTCCGTGACCACCCAGCCATCCGCTCAGTTTCGTGCACGATTATACGAATTCCACACCCCTGAGTAATGATAACATGTAACACATTTCAGTCATACTCTTCCAATATATTATGGGTTAGAGAACCTACCCGTAATACAATATTTCCCAACATAGAGACAATACTTTTCAAAACTCACTGCAGGACATCTGAGAATGTCAGTTAGAGTGCAATATATTTCTTCAGTTATAAATAAAACAGTCCACTCTTAGTCAGCTTTTCTTCTATCATTAAGGATAGTTACTATTAACACATCTAAAAATAAATTAATATTTAACATCTCAGATTATTAGTTAATGTTACTAAAGAGATTTGAAATTGTATTGAACAATCAGTGGAGAACAAACCTGAAAATTTGGCTCGGCTTAGTTTGCAGTACTGTTCTGTGGGGAAGAACAGTACTGTGTGTGCCAATTCTTTCTAATACCTAATAGCATATATAGATATGATGTATGGTATGATGTGGCTGTACCTGTTTACAGCCCTTTCTACCATTCTCATATTTGACAATGGGAATGGTTATGAAGAACCCACTTGATAACAGATGATACATTTCTCTGCTCCGTACCCTATTGGATTATCCACTGAAGTGCCTGGAGACTTTGTTCCATCAAATAACACTGGAAGCTTAGGTGCAAAGCTGTGTTGGGAGAAAAAGAACTGTCATGTGATCAAACTTTGCTGCATGCCACCCAAAATAAAGAAGTCAGTTTGGAGCTTAGTTCCACAAGTTAAAGTGACATTAAAGTCAGAATTTGTTTTCCCTCTCCCCAATGTTTTTTAAAGCACTTACCTTAAATTATGTTTCTTAATCCAATCTTTTTCTTCTTTCCTGTCATTATCTGTCCCTCCAGCACTGCTGCGGGTCTCCGATCCAGCACTGACTACTCTGTCCTTGCTGGCACTTCCTGTCCCACGGTGTCTGTATGAGGGTGCACGCTGTCCATATACTTACCTTGTGTCTCTACTCGTCTCGCGGCCGAAAATCTGAACTGCGCATGCGCCCGCCCCAAGATGCTTTGCGGCCGCCTGAGAGATTTCAGATTTTCGGACGGGAGCACGCGGAGAAGACACAGGTAAGTTTAAACCGCTTTTAAAGCAATTTGGTTTTTTTAAAATGTTTTTGCATATATTCATATTTCTTTATATATTTGCTTGCTAGCAGTAGATATATGCAAAAAAACGGAGGGTTCAATAATCCTTTAAGCAATACAGTGTTTTTTGATGTCTTATTTTTTAGTACATTACTGAACTGTCCTCAGGACACAAATGTATGTTATATTTGTATATTTTTTTATACTTATTTTACAGGGAAAAAAGAAGAGAAGAACAAGAGAAAAACCTCAAGATTCCAGCTCAGGTGAGGTGCATTGATATTTACACATCGCTTTATCCTATTTCAGTTTATTACAAGGGGGCTGATGAAAGATGTTACATTGGACAACCATCGACTTAATCATTTTTTTTACCTTTTGTTCATGGAAATTTTAAACACCTTTTGTTTTTAGTCATGCCCTGGTATTCTTTCTGCATTTTTTGTTTTGTCAGAGATCTGCTTCATCAGCTTCTCTCCAGCGTCTGAAGCTGGAGAGTGATAGCAGAATGCTGAAGTGATGTAATAAACATCATTTCCGCATTCTGACAGCAGAGAGGGGACCGGAGGGAGTTCGTGTACCCATCTCCCTCTGATCCCTTGTGACAGAAGCACTATGCTGGTCCCGGGCTCTTACCGGGCACAGCGGAGCCTGGGACCAGCGGGAGGGGCCGGGCTGAGGAGGGAGGGACATGGGCCTGCAGCTTACGCAAGCGATCCACTGGCTCTATAGCTGGCAGATTGCTTGTATGTTAACAGGCATCACTGCCTGTTTTTAAATTTTGGGTCTTTCCCGCTCGCGCGCGCCGCGCGGGGCACGCAAGTGGCCGTGGCTGAGTGGACGTCTAAAGACGCCCGCTCAGATCTAGAGAGCTCCCGGCCGGCCATTTTTTTTACAATGGCCGGCCGGGAGGTGGTTAAAGAAGAAAAAAATAAAGAAAACAAATTGGGCGGAGCTAGCAGTGACAGTTAGCTTCGCCCAACTGTTTCCTATAGGCCAGCACCTGCTAGAGTCTTCTAGCAGGCCCAGGCCAATGAATAACAACTGAGCGGAGTCTTCTAGCAGGCCCAGGCCAATGAATAACAACTGAACCAAAGGGCTCCGGCGGCCAAATTTATTATAAATGGGAGTGGAACTTCGTGGTAGAAAAAAACTGTATTGGAAATCAAACACATATAGTGAGAATGTTGAGAAAGAAAAGAGAAAGAGGAAAAATAATCAGAGGGTGAATAGTAAGCGCCCTCCTCTGCTGAAGGAAAGATGCCCAGAACCTCTTTAAAAATAAAAAAAAGGTAAGGGATTTAAATACATATCTGGAAAGACAACAATAATCCATTGTTGACAAATACAGAGGAATTTTGCATGAGTATCCAAAAGGATACGGTTAGGCATTTGCTGTAGTTTACTAAAAGATCAAAAAGTGACAGTTAAGTTATCCTCTGCCATGTAGGGCCACTAAGAATCCACATGCATTTTATGGAACAAGATATAGATTAGTCCATAGACTCTGGACCAGAATTAAATTAACTTTGGGCAAGTCTACCAGATGTGGAGGCTATTTTCATCCACTGAATAATCTCAAAACCATGTCATGCTCTGTGAGAACAGGCACTAGAATTGATGCGAAGATTTCAGTATTTCATATTTATATAATTCAAAATATGTGCACAGCAGTCCAGTTGTAAAAATTGTAACGAATAGATTATCAATTGTACACAAATCTATAGGAAGTTTAGGATCCTATTTCATGTTTAATTGCATAGCTATCTGAAGTTTGCATGTTGGTCTGTTTTATCTATTTTTTTTATGTTTGAGTGTTACATAAAAGCAAACTTCGAAAATATGCAAGTACAGGGAATATATTCCAGCATAGTGGAGCTCTAGTGTTTCTGCACTGGTCCATTCCAATTAAAGTTGTTTAATTCCACCTGTCCGAAGAAAATTATGGAGACTGACCTCTCATTCTGAGAATCTTGGTTGCATGGTTGTCTTGTTTGGTTTCAATGCTTTCTGAGTCACTAACCAGGAGCAGGTTTACAGATAAGAATTTTCAACACTTTACTGACCCTTATTTACAGATACTTTTTCCAGGTCTTTGACTCAAAAAGATTTGTCAGCACAGTGGGGTAACTAGCCTATTCAGGAGCCCAGAAATGGCAGCCCTTATACTTCCCTTGTTACAGGTGTACTTTACATCTGAACTCCAGGCAGATATAAAAGAAAACAAATGAATACAGCTATATATTCATTAATAAAATATTAAATGTATTTTTAACAGTAACTCACGTAAGTACATAAATTTGACTTGGTATCAGCTTAATGAAATTCGATGTATAGCAGCATTCTGACTGGGAAAGTGAGAGACACAATTAGAAGCCAATCAGATGTGCTAAAAGCAAATATACTGGCAAGAGACTTGCTGATACTCACTAATCTGCTGCTTCCATTTCACTGTCCAGTTAGCAGGCTAGGGGGTGGTGAGAAGAAACCACTGCATTACCTAAAGCCCAACTCTAGCTTTATTTAATAAAATAAAGCCCATTTCATCTGTTTAGAAAAAATTAAGTTCTCATTACAATTCTTACCTTGTCCCTTGCAGACACTGCTTCTTGTAGCACTGCTGTTCTTAATGGTTGAATTACATCAAACTGTCATGACCACACCCCCTAGGGGTGCATCATCACACAGTCTAGGCCAGTGTTTTTCAACCTTTTTTGTGCAAAGGCACACTTTTTTCATGAAAAAAATCACGAGGCACACCACCATTAGAAAATGTTAAAAAAAATTAAAGTTTATCCACGTAATCTCATCACATGAGTACCCAGAATTTTACTGGAATCAAAGATTCAGGGGGGTGGTAAGCTTGGGACAGGGGGCTTGGGGTCTGTAGTGGGAGTTGGACTTTAATTGTAAGTCGTGTATACATATGTGTGTGCTGTTGTAAATCTCAGGATTAGATAGAAATACAAATCCTCTGACAAGCAAATCAGCATTCTTTTTGCATGTATGTCATAGGTGTATTTAGCTGTATGCCTGGAGTTCAGCTTTTAGAAGTATTATATAGTAGAGAAGTGGGTTATTCCTCCAACTGCCCTACTACTACTGCCATATTTTTCCATTTTAGGCAGAGCACTCTCTGTATAAAACTGTTTATGTAATTATTCCTATTACTCCCCAGGTTTGCTGTATTTTTCTATCACATTCCTTGGAATTATTACTTTCTAATCTAAAAGGTAGCTCCACCTTTATGAAATTCACACTACACTGTTTATTACAGCATAGATGTTTGACATTATCTATTGCCATCTGAGTATGTGAACAAATCATAGATAAAGCCAAGCTCCAGCCTTACCTTCAGTCTTGTACAGTTGTACAGGCTCCACTTCTGTAATGAAATTACTATAATTTCACTAAACATTGTAAAAGTTTTACAGTGTGCATTTGTTTCCAGGCTGAAGGATGTCCAGCATTATCTCACCCTTCCTCCCCAACCTAACTGTCCCTGGTCTACCCCATTAATTGGATTTCAGTTGTTTTCAATCATGGAGGCTTAGAATCACATGTGAGCGTATCCTAGCTAGGCTAGTCTGCATGCAAATGCACTATGCCTAGAAATGCTCACTGCTCCAGATTTACACCGTCTCATAACGGCATTTTAACATTTGCACAACTCTTTCCAATAGCCATCAAGGCTGAGGACTCTTTAGAAGAGTACGGAAGGAAGGGTGCTGTGATGTTTTCAGGAAGCTAAGCACAACACCATTCTGGCCCCTCCCACCAGCCATGGTCTACCTGGATTGCATAGAAAAGCACTGAGACCCAGTGATGACCTCATGGAGTTTAAAATAAGGTGTGAAATGAAAACAGGATTTATCTAAAAATGTAAGTAGTATATTGATGAGAGAGGGGAAGGAGGAACCCAGGAATATAAGCCTTTTAGATTGTAAGCCCTCACGGGCAGGGCGCTCCTTACCATCTTGTCTTGAATTGTATTGTGATTCTAATGTCTTCCTTATATTGTAAAGCGCTGTGCAAACTATTGGCGATATATAAATCCTGTATAATAATAATAATAAGCAGATATAACTTCATCATTAGCTATATACAGTTGTAGTCAGACTTTCAGTACATCAACCAAAAACTGGAAACTGTTACAAACCTGGGCAATTCAGATTGAGCATTATAAAATAATTTGCATAAGCAGAAGTTAAGGCTACCTTCAGTGAAAATTGCATGGGCTGCTGACAACATAAGCAAATATTGATTTTTCCTAGTTCTGCCCCTCCTGCCTCGTGAGCTCCTTTATTTAATATGATGGGTAACCTAGTTGAAAAGCAAGAGGAGGCTAAGGTGGCATGGATGGGTGAAGCCAAGCTCCATTTTCACAGAAACAGCCATGATTTGAACATTATCTAGCTGCAAATATTTCTGGACCTATGGATTGTTTGCCATCTGGTTTTCACTGAACGTAACTTCTGTTTATATTTTTTTATCATATGATCAGTTTGATTTGCCTAGACTTGTGACAGGTATTGCTTTACAAAGCAAATTGTGTATTAAATCCAATTTTTTTTAAAAATGTATTACTTCTTTACCTTGCTTTACGGCATAAGATTTATCACAAAGGTGGCCTCTAGTATTTTTGATACTTCTAGGTAGTTGTAAACCTCACCAGACCATTTGATTAATCATAATGTGCAAAGTTCTGAGTTATAGGCAGTAAGTTTACTAGTTCTTAGCATTAATTATGAATCAACTGTGTTACTGTGGACCTTGCATGAAAATGCAAGCAAGGTCTGCTTTTCTGCACATAAAAAAACAAACGTTTCATTAGTGGTAAGAAAAAATAAACAAAGATACTTATCTTGGACCCTGATTTCCAGCCACTTTCTGAAGGTGCTGAGCCTCATTACAACCTTCTTAGAAAGCTCAATACCGAAGAATCACAGTAAAATGTTTTCCTGCACTGTCGGCATTCATCTTAAGTAACATTAAAAGAAGTGTTTTTCCCCATACTTCTGTTTAGGGTCATGGGAGGACATATACTAACCTCCCCCGTGACCCAAAGCTCAGTATATACCGGGCTATTGCCCGCAATATACTAAGAGCGCCGCAGCCAGGACGGATCCCGACAATACTGTCGAGATCCACCTAGCTACCTGAGTGACAGCTGGCTCTGCCTGTCTAGAGGTAGAGCCAGCTGTGCCCGCCCCCTCCGCCATTCCTTCCTCCACTCAGTGCTGGAGGATCGGAGAGGGTAGGGGGG